AATTTTCGATTTTGCTGATAAAATCTGAATGCCAGGTACTAATGGATTTCATGTGAAATAACAGATCATGCTTGCTCTTTGGTGAAGCTATCCGAATGATATTTCCTTGAAACAATGGGCATGATTTTGTGCATGCTTCCTGTTTGAATTTTTGATGAAATTATTATTACGAGTGTTACTGTTTGGGAAAAGTTTATAACGAAAGCTTCAAACATTCAGTCAAATATGGCTTGGCTGGCAGCAAAAAAATCCAGTCAAGATATTGACAGAGGTTTTCACAGCTGAGATCTGTCAGGAAAAATTGGGCTAAACCCAGAACACTGCCCAAGACAAAGTTAATATTTGAGTAAAACAAATATTAGACAAAATTGACAAATTAGAACCCAGAGGCTCTTTTAGTCACCCAGCCCATGGACTAGGGGGACATTTTGACAGCAAAAAGATTTCATAGGAAGAGATTTTCGGAGGAGGTAATTTATATTGGGGGGATGAATCTGATGAAGAAATAGATAAAATTTTAAAAAAATAAAAAAACCTCAGAACCCGAGTTAGCTATCTTCAACTTTACTAGTTTGGAAAGAATTGGCAAATAGCTGCAAAAATGCTTTTGTGGATTCAGAGTTGTAGGAACTCTACAACATTTAAGTATTACGGCATCAGATTTTCCTGTGCTATCACAGGTATTGATCAACACTATAATATAAAATAATGTTGGATATTACTTTGTATAAATTTATGTTGGGTATAACTTCGTTAGTTTACTAGTAAGGGAAGCCTGCTTAGTTTCACACCAAGTATAAAAGAACAACTAGATCTGCCAGGATCCTGATATTGTAGTGCTAATATAGCCACACCATGTAAAACACAACTGCTAGTGCTTCCCATCTCAAGACTTACTGTACGTAGTTTAAAATATACTTAATTGATATATTTTTAAATTCTGATGATATTGACTAAATAATTGGCCAAAGCTTAGCACCGTGATGGCGAAACTATGGCACGGATGACAGAGGTGGCACGCAGAGCCCTCTCTGTGGGCATGTGCATCATAGCCAGCTGCTCTTCAGGTTTCCAGCACACACATACACGCCAGCCAGCTGGTCTTTGCTGGCGCGGGAAAATGTCCTGAAAACGCCCCCCAAAATGGCCGAAAAGAAGCCTGAAAACATCCAGAAAAATGGCTAAAAAACAGGCATGTGTGTGCTGGCCAGCTGTTCTTTGGGTTTCCGATGCTCTGGCACATGCACATGCATGCGCGTTCCGATTTGGGCACTCAGTGCCAAAAGGTTTCACCATCACTGGCCTAACACATTTTCTCCTTTTCACTATTGTATTGGTTTTATTCTGGACCTAATTTTAAGATTTTTATGACTTGCTTAACTCCCTAGAGCAGTGATGGCGAACCTATGGCACGCCATTTGTCAGGGCACAGGAGGCGCTGCCCTGTCAGCTGGCCAGCGCATATGTGCAAGCTGGCCAGCTGAGTTCACCCTTTTTTAAAGCCATTTTTAAGGGCTTCCAGGGGGGCAGGGGAGGCTGTTTTCACCCTCTCCAGGCTCCTATAAAAGCATGAAAAAATGGGGGGGTCGCGCCTGTAGTGCGCACATGCACACTGGGGGGGGGGGTCATGGATTTCATTATGGGTGCGGCACGCCCGCACACGACCCCCCTTATGGCACGCGAGCCAAAAAAGGTTCGCCATCACTGCCCTAGACCCTTGGGAGTAGAAAATATATGATCGAACGAGCGATAAATATAATTTGTTTATTATAAATATAAATAAATAAAGTTTATTTATGAATAAATAAAACCTCGTTCAGCAACCACACATATCTACTCAAACAATGGCAGAATTTAATTGCATCTCCAAAACAGGAAGGAGGGCCTTAAGAAGAGGATTACAAGAAGCCCTCATGCAGGCAAATAAGCTCCCTTCAGGAGATCAATATAACCTTTGCTACTCTTGCTTCAGGGAGATTAAGAATATTTTTTGGCTAAAACATTCATCGTCCATGAGAGGAGAAAAAAACAACAACCCAGGCCCTGTTTCACACGTTTATTCCTTTGAATCAAAAGTGACTCTTGGCCAATGTTTGGATGAGTCCTGTGATGTTTTCTTGACAATAATTTTGGAAGTGGTTTGCTGTTGCCTTTCTCTGAAGGCTGGGAGTGTATGAAAGTCGCTCAGTAAACATTTTATCTAAAGCAAGACTGGAACTCAATCTCTTTGTTTCTAGTCTTAGGGCCTTTCACCGTTACACCAAATTGACTTTTATTCCAGTCAAACATATATGTAACTTGGGAATTATTTCAGCAACCTTTCCTTTGTAGGAACAGCAGAAATGAAACCAGAGGTGGGCTGCGCTTTCAATCACAAGCGGTTTGCTGGTTGTGAGTGCGCGTGCTATAGCGCTTCACTCACATGTACACCTTTGGGAGTGAAACCGAGCTTCAAAGAAGCAGATAATCAACTCAGGCAGCTCTGGTGAGTAAAGCAGGGGCGGCGCGAAACTCAGCTGAGCAGTGAGGGCAGAGGGAACGAGCCAGAAAGTTAGCTATAAATGGATAGCTTAGCACAAGCGGTCCCAGCCATCGATCAAAGCTAAGGGTTCACCCGAACCTGCGCATTCACGCAGTAGCCCACCACGGAATGAAACCTAGAATGCAACAAGATCTGCATTTCAGAGAGTGTTAGCACAAAACCCACACTGGTTTAATTTGTATTCAATCTTCAAAAGCCTTTTTGAACAGAAATTAAACTTTTAAAAAAAGGGATGATTAAAGTAAATAATTATAATGAAATAGGGGGGGGGGATTTTATAAAATTAGTGTTGGTGGAAGACAAAGGGAATAAACCTACTCAAGAACATAGGTTGTTTTTGAGGATATAAGGGCACAATTGAAATATATTGTATATCTAAGAAATAAAAGGGGGGGGAGGAAAGGTCTCCAGGGTGTGGGGGGGGGGTAAACTGTAATATGTGTTTTTCCCTTTTTCTTTTGTCTTTCTGTTTTGTGTTCAGTTGTTTTTGTCTTTTGCCTTTCTTTTTTGTATTCAGTTGTATATGTATTGTTTGCACTATTTGTGTTTTTTTTTAAAAAACAATTTAAAAAAAGGCTTTTTGCAAGCTTGGGAGACCAACAGGATTGGGCTACATGGCCCTGTAACTCCCATAGATCTAAAGCACAACTACAACAGCAACAGTTTCCTCCACTTCAGCTTCAGGACTCCATTACATGGATCTGAACTCTAAAGAAATCCTGTTTTTTGGGGATGCTATCAAAAGGGCATATGTGAAAGTCATTAGTCTGCTCTTCTTCTACATTCAGAGACAATGACTACAGAAGCAGCTCTGGCTTTCCTGCTTCCCCTGTTCAAATTCTTAGAAACAACAGAAGCTTACAAAGAAGTGGCAAGCCACTGTGTAAGTGGCGATGGAAACACAAGAACGGAAAAATATCTGCTCCCGGAGAGATGGCACATGCTACTCATTGCTTCGGTGCCACTACCCCTGCTGAGGAACTCTACTCAGCATGCAATAAGGCAGAATTCCACCCCAACACATGGATATGTGGTTTTGATAGCCAACAGACCATCTCAAAGCATCAAGGCTGATAACTATGGGCAAGGTTCCCAGCCAAGAGGACTCTAAGCAGCTGTCTCTTCAGAGTGTATAAATCTGCAGCCAAGAGAATCAGATATTATTTTGCTTTTTCAGTGGGCTAAATGCTTCCAACACTGCAAAGATGAGGTAAGATCTGATGCCAGGTATAGAAAGACATCCTAGACCTAAGGTGATATATGGAAACAGGATCTGTGAGCATTTTTATGGTAGGCACACATCTACAGAGCTTGTAATGACAGTCTTCATCGTGAATACAAATAAGGAAAGCATTAAGTTGCGGACGGCAGCAAATCAGGACACTCCTTGGTCCATAAGCGAATATAAAAATTGTATTCACATTTCTATATATCACATGAATGAGCAGCCTTTTGAAAGTTGGTAGTCACAATGGACAGGCCATGGCTTTCTTTCATTTCTAGATTTCCAATGAGGGCTTTTGGAAGCTTAACCATTTTATAAAGCCTTAGTAAGGCCACACCGGGAATACTGCATCCACTTTGGGTGACCACATTACAAAAACAATGTTGAGACTTTGGGAAAAGTGCAAAGAAGAGCAACTAAGATGATTAAATATCTGGAGATTAAAACATATGAAGAACGACTGCAGGATTTGGGTTTGGCTAGTCTAGAGAAAAGAAGGACTGGGGAATGGATGGACGGACGGGATAGCAGTATTTCAGTATTTGAGAGTTGCCACAAAGTGGAGCGGATCAACTTATTTTCCAAAGCACCAGAGGTCAGGACAAGACACAATGGATGGAAACTAATCAAGGAGAGAAGTAATCTGGAATTAAGGAGAAACTTCCTAACAGTGAGGACTATTAACCAGAGTAAGAGCTTGCCATTAGAAGTGGTGGGTGCTTCATCACTAGAGGTTTTTAAGAAGAGACTAGACAGCCACTTGCCTGAAATGGTGTAGGGTTTCCTGCTTGAGCAAGGGGTTGGACGAGAAGACCTCCAAAGTCCCTTCCAGTTCTATTCTGATTAAGCTTTCTTAGGGTTTTTAAAAATTATGTTTTCATGTGATTCTGTTTCAGAATGGTTTCCAGCAATGATAGTCAGAGGAGGATCTAGAGCAGGGATGGGGAACTATGGCCCTTTTATGACTTGTGGACTTCAATTCTCAGAATTCCTGAGCCAGCCATGTCATAAAGGGGGGGGGGCATCATTTCCCATCTCTGATCTAGAGCACTAAAAAAAAAAAGATTAAACCACAAGCTTCTGCCACCCTTCTATTATCTGGATGCTGAATATTGACATGAGATCATGGATGACATGATTCTTGTATTCTCCTCGGCACCATGTTTTCCAGTGAGTAATGAACACGCAAAGATCTTGGAAGGGTCACTGATAGATTCTTGTAAATTTCTTTACCTCTATGAAGGACAATATGGTCGATCATGTTCCGTTTATATTTGGTGTGGTAGAGACAGAGAGGACAACGGAGATCTTTGGGTCCTTCCTCTGGAACTGCTGAATGCCCAGCTTCCACATGCATAGTAAAAGCAGATCTACAAACACAGAAAGTAGTACACAGGCTCAGATATAAGTGTAGAGAACGTTAACCCTTTGAATATTTTTGTGTGTGACAGAAATTACATATATCGACGTTTACAGGCATGCTATACAAATTTGTCAAGACAATTTTCCGCGACTTAATGAACAGTGGGTTTAATATTCCCAGGAACTGATATAAATAAAAGCTAGGTCTGGCTCACGTTAAATAATGGGTTGTCATTAACCAATAATGGTTTATGACAACCCAGACATTATTTGGTAAACCATGGTTGAAGGCTTACTACAATTAGTTCTTTATTTATTCATCAAACCACAGTGATAACAAACTATAGCTTAGGTGATTCATGAACTCAGCCACATTTTTTACTTAATCTCTTTGCTCTCTCTCTTTTTAAAGGTAGGATTAAATGTTACGTTAACCAATATTAACACAGATTAAACCTAATTAGAATTATATTAATGAATATTGGAGTAGAGATAATCCTGTGATTTACAACCACAATTGAGCCCAAAATTTATGTTGTTAAGTGAGACATTTGTTAAGTGAGTTTTGCCCCATTTTACGACCTTTCTTGCCACAGTTGTTAAGTGAAGCTTTGGTCGCATTGACCGATGATCTCTGGAGAGCCAGAGATGGAGGCCACGCGTCCATCCTGGTTCTCCTTGACCTCTCAGCGGCTTTCGATAC